ATATATATATATATATATAATGGGAAAATAACCTCACTGGGTTGTTCAGAAAATAAAAAGAAATAATTAGGGAAAAAAAAAGAAGAAGAAAAGAAATTGAGTATTCACACCCTTATTCACAGAGCCCCAAAACAGGGTGGTGGTAGGGGACCCCAAATGTGCATCCACAGGTGCCTAAATTAGCAAACGGTAATAAAACCATACAGTGGATTATCATTCGGTATTACAAAGAACTACAAACACAAGGATCATCGTGGATAGGTCTCAAAAACTTAAGTATACATCTATCACTGGGTGGTTTAAATGGCTAACATGCAGGGCTGCTAACCAAAAGGTTGGAGGTTTGAGTGTATTCTGAAGTACCTCAGAAGGCCTTGAGATCTCCTCTGAAAAATCCACCATTGAAAGCCCTATGGAGCACAGTTCTACTGACACACACATGGGGTGCCATGAGTCAGAATCAGAGTTCATTCAGAGGCAACTGGGTGTGTGTGTGTGTGTGTGTGTATGTGTGTTTTCCCCATATATGGTGAAATCAGTGAAAGTCAGGACTTGCCCAGACTACCTGGTTTTTCTGGGTCTCGCAAGTGTTCCACATTTGACAGGATGCAGTCTTAACACTTTTCCATCGAGTTTTCTTTCTCTGACATGTTCATTTCCACCTTACACAGGTTCTAGCTTTTGCAGTTTTATTATGTACATATGTGTGCGTGTGCGTGTGTGTGTGTGTGTGTGTGTGTGTCATTCCATACACAAGTCCTCTAAGAAAAAAACTAATCTATGGTGATGTAAGTAAAAAGTGTTGCCTCTGGACATAGTGAGGAACTGACTGAAAAGGAACACAAAAGAACTTTTTAGGTTGATGGATGGGAGCTCTGGTGGCATAGTGCCTAAGGCATTTGACTGCTAACCAGACGGCTGGCAGTTCAAACCTACCAGCCACTCCTTGGAAGGAAGATTGGGCAATCTACTTCCATAGTGATACCACCTTGGAAACCCAAGGAGGGGTCGCTATGAGTCAGATCCTACTGGATAGCAGTGGGTGGTGGGTTTTTTTTTTTTTTTTTGGTAGGTTGATGGATATTTGTTTTGAGTGGTAGTTACATAGGTATACACAATTGTCTAAAGCCATCAAACAAAACAATTAAGATCTGTGCATTTTATTGGTGGCAACTGTATCTCAGTTTTTCAAAAAAGCATCTATAGTACATTTGCTTATATATATTAAAAATAAGTATTTAAAGTAAATCATGTTTTTTCCCAAAACTTTAATTCCTAAGGGGGGAAAAAACAACCCACAAGTGTAACAAGTCACATTTTAGGTAAGATAACTGTGACTGAAAAACCAAGATCTGATAGACGCGTACAATTTTTAAGTAACTCAGTCTCAAAACCACTGATAATCCATCTTAGTTCTTCAAATCATTCACCTAACTGGCTCTAATTTCTACTTTTTTGAAGTTTCTCATCAGTTCACTTTCAGCAGTACTGCCACATTCTTCCTTGACTCATCTTTGTACATTATTACTAAATTTATCAGCTGATTTCAAATGTCATTTTCATGCTCAAATATAATCAATTGAATCCTGGTTTCTTTTGTCCTTCCCCTCTATCTATTCCAACAATCCTGCAAAATGGCTATGATTTGAAAATGGTAAAGCCAGGAAAGAAAGCACAGCAGATGAAGATAATGACAGCCTTACTATAATCTAAGATACAATGACAAAATGGTGAACCAGAGATGAGACTGTCCATGAAGATCCTGCAAATTGCAAAGAAAGTTTGAGAGGAAGGAAATGATCCTAAGAATAATTAAAAACCCTATGTCATGGGGAAGAGCTCTGGTAGCATAGTGGCTAAGGCACTTGACTGCTCACCAGATGGCTGGCGGTTCAAACCCATCAGCCACTCCTCAGAAGGAAGGTTGGGCAATCCTACTTCTGTAGTGATACTGCCTCGGAAACCCAAGGAGGGGTCGCTGTGAGTTGGGGCCGACTCAACGGCAAATAACAACAACATGTCATAGAATTATGAGCTATAACGCTACTTTTAAAATATAAAGCACAAATAAATTAATTTTTTTGATTTCACATCAACCCAGATGAGCAAGTATCTAACAAAAACAAAAAGCAGAACCTTTAATATTAGATTGCATGGCAAAAGTTTGCTATAGCTAAACACAGAAGTCAAAAACCTCAAATTATTTATGATTTGATTTGAATTTATACTTTTTTTAAGGAAAACAAATTTAATACTTTTTTTTAAAAGGTTATCTGTGCATTCTATAACTGAATTTCTAACCTTTACCCTGAGATATTGGGCAATATACTTCCGTAGAGATACTAACTCAGAAACCCAACGAGGCGTCACTATGTATCCCAGTCAACTCAATGGCAGTGAGTTTGTTTTTTTTTTTAAAGGGGAACAAGGTATTTTGTAAGGAATCAATATCAAAATATTATCCATTCTAATTCTAGTTACTCTTTTAATGATGCTTTCTTGACTACTAAAGTACAAGTTTGCAAACTCAGAAACTTAGTTCAAGTATTTCTGCTAAGGCTGGGTCTTTTCTGAGATGATACATGATAAGTGGTTGATAGAGACAGAAAAAAGGTCAAGTAAGAAGTTTTGAAAAGAGAAAAGGAATGAAAATAAATGCCCATGCAGGTGCAAAAAGCTGCCTTTTTAATATAGGGTGTCTCAGACCAATCATGTGTACTGACATTCTGGTATTTCTATGTATATGTGTAGGAATGTTATAGTTATTAACGAAAATATTGTTTTTAAAATCTCTTATTTCCTGGGTCACTATTTAATACTATTTTAGAATTGACTAAAATAACATATCCTTTTAGGTGTGAGTCACTGGGCCTGTGGGATTGGGACCGTCAAGCCCAACTGGGATAACATAGTACACAAAAATACTGTTCCACATCCTACTTTGTTGAGTAGTGACAGGGGTCTTAAAAGCTTCCAAGCAGCCATCTACAATCTAACTATTGATCTCTGCTCATTTGGAGCAAAGAAGAATGATGAAAATTAAGACTGCATGGAAATTAGCAATCCAAGTTCTAGTGAACCATGGGAACTCAGCCTCCATGACCCAGAGACCAAGAACAACTAAATGGTGTCCAGCTCCACTGCCAAACACTTGGAAAGGATCAAAATAGAAGATCCTGGATAGATGGAATAACAATGTTAAACAATACTCAAAATCATAAAAGGAAAAAAAAAAAAAAAAAAGATCGGGCTTACAGATCTGATAAGAGACTGGTAAAACCCTGGAGACTATGCTCCTTAGTCATCCTGTGGGCCTGTAACTGAACCCACACCAGTGGCTCAACTTTCAGCCAAACAACTGACATGCCTAGGAGATTAACCATTATACCAGGGAGGTATGCACTTTTTAGAACAATCAACCTTAAGAGATCAAAAGGGTAGCATTTGCATAGGGAGAAAGATCAGAAGACAGGAATGAATGGAAAGGGCATAGAGAAAAGATAACCACAGGAAGGAGGTGGGAAGAGAGCTATTACACTGTGGAGATTGCAATAATATCATGAAACAAAATGTGTATAAACTGTTGAGTGGAAACAATTCTGCTCTGTAAACTATCACCCAAATCACAATAAAAACAAACAAAAAAATAAAATAATATAACATACCTTTTTAGAAAGGCCCAAATCTCCTTTCTTGGGCATAAATCCAGGGTCTAAATCATTGGATTCAAGAAGTTTTTTAGTTGGTTTTCTCTGACGCTTACTTTCATAGCTTCCTGAAAATCATGTATCTTTCATTAGATGATTTAGAAACTGGGCACAAGCTAATTTCAAATTGATATTACATACCAAATGAATCATAATATTGCTCATGTTTTCTCATCCTCTTGTAGGGGAGGGGCAGGGTAGGCTTTTATTTTTTCTAAATTATTAGTTAATATTAAATAATCAAAACAACAAAATATTTATCAATACAGATACAATCTAATGTCAGAATGTACCTGTAACAGTGCTTATTCTCTTTTAATCACAAAAGAACTAAAACAAATCCAAAAGGGCAGAACTACCTTTATAAAAATCAATTTGCGTTAATAATACCTACACAAAGGAAAGCTGAAGTAAAACCTGGATTCTGAACACACGTAGACTGAGATTAAAATTTTTGCTCTGCCTCCAAATAAATAAAAGGCACACACTTTGTAGAATACTGGCACAAAAGTTAAGCGTTTGGCTGACCACCAAAGTTTAGCAATTCATACCCATCTAAAGACTGGCCATCTGCTCCATAAACATTATAGCCTAAAAAACCCTATGGGTCAACTCTTCTCTATCACTTGAGGTCGCTATGAGTTGGAATTAATCAGATAACACCTAACAACAAGGACTGCTATAAGCAATTATATAAAAGAGCCTCATATCAGACTTTTGAACAAACTACCAAAATTGTGACTACCTTTCAGAAGGAAGACTGGATAATCAGAAACCCAAGGAGCGGTCGCTATGAGTC